AAGGAAACCGTGACAAGAGGATGGAGAAATAATCAATCCATTGGGGACTGTTTAGCACAATTTGGAAAAGTTATGCAGTAAGGCTAATTTCTACTTTAATTCTAGACACAAAAAACGTTTTTATCAGGTCGCTTACCAGTCGCTTGTTACACGGTGTTCGGTAGTAAACAGTTTTCCTGTTGCCTGGGTGACGCTGTGCTATCTCTCTGTGAACAGAAAATAATGGTGAAATATTGTGACACGCATTTACTAATAATACATCTAAGATGATTATGATGATGACAAGCGCACTTCTTAACCCTTGAAATCTAATTTCTCCCAATGTATCACCCCTGAATCAAACATGAAAATCATAGGAATAAAGGAAATGATTGCAAAATCAAGAAGCTCTTGATTTTTTGACACATTCTCTGTGAAAGCACTAAGGGAAATGTATAATGAACAGTATGGAGAACTTGCATACTGATGCTAGGGTGTAAAGTGTTTAAAAGGTTTGTAAGAAATACAGCGACGGTAAGTTGTCTGCAACTGAATGGCTAGAAAGCGGTATAAGGAACGAAAAATATTGTTCGACCTGCATGAGTAATTAATCAATCATAGGATTTTCACCTTTTCCATCTCAGTAAAAGAGGAACTGCCCTTGGATTGTGTTTTATTAATTCACTCGGTTCTAGACTAAGCGACAAATTGCACGGCTTGCTGCATTTGTGAGGCCCTGGAACAGAAAGTAATTCGTTGTCATTATTGGAGGGTATAGAAAACAGTAGACTGTGAAATTCTAAAACTTCTCAAAAGAATTCTGAGTCGCTCACCTCTAGGTGCTGGCTTTCTAGGAACAGGTAGACCAGCAGGAACACCCTGTCCCTCAGGCATGTTATCTGGTTCATACTGTTTCAGTCTCTCTGCGATTAGCGTTGCAGCGTCCTGTTTATGCCGGTCGTTTGTGGGAATTTGGAAGGCTGGGACTCGACTGTAATCTACGCTTCTGACGTCACGGTTTTTGGCTCGTAACCAGGGTGCCTCCCACGCCTGAGACTAGCGTGAAAACAGTTCACAAGCGAAACAATTAATTTGCTTTAGAGTGTATGATATTTTGTGATCGTGTATTTGAAAAGTTAGTCACCAGGTCACATGACAATGACCGCTTAAAAGGAACTAGTTTTAATGTTACCCTCTGACTTGCGGACTTGACGAACAGTAGCAGAGTTGAACGGCAGTAGGGTAGTGCGGCAGCAGATTTGAACTTAAATTTTGCACGCAATATGTAACACACATTGCATAGATGGAATTGCATAGATTTGTTAAGTGTGCGTTAAAGAAGAAAAAGATAATTCTTCGTAGGGCTGGCCAAGAAACTTTAAATCACAATACTGAGAATGAAAATATTGAATTAAAGACTATATCATTCACAGCTCTATTCGTTGAGTAGAAATGGCTTGATTATGTTTTTGTTATATTCATTTTTCCTTGAGCGATTACTGGTTCAAAGCCACCAACATTCTTGTTATTGATGTTTCAAATACTGACAGTTTAATCAACGGTTGCAAACTACTTGCGTACATAAGTTCGCAGAAAACACTGAAAAAATACTGTGAAAAACCACAAAATGGTTATTAATTACATTTAGTGTTTTAGTCAATGATTGTTACTACGTTGCATCGTGCATTCAAGTCGGTGCATAGTGAACAATTTTATTCAATCGAATCAATTCCCTTACAAAATACAAATACTAACGTTGTAAAGGTCGTCCAGATTTGACCCATCCAAGCTATAAGGAACTAGGTACTGAAAGTTAAAGTTAGAAGTGTAAGGAAGGATGGATGTCAAGGAATGTTGCCATTCCTTTTTCGTTTCCTTTTTAGGGAAGCAAACTTTATGAATTTGTTTTCTTGACCTTCTTGAAACGGGTAATAAAATTTTGAAAAATGATGATGCAACAATGTTTAGTTAATTTTAAACGGCATTTTGTACTTTACGTCAGCCAAATGATAGAAATAGTGGACATCAAGATACTGTTGTTAAACTAATGTTGTAACTTAAGTATTCTATTCATGTTATACAAAAGATTGAAAAGAAAGAGGGAATTTTTACTGCTGTTAATACAAGTTTAGCCTCGTTAGAAGTGTGAATAACAATAGTACTAAGCTTTGACGCCGGGCTAACGCTCGAAACATCAGCTTTAAAAATCTCTTTCCGGTGACCAAGTTACATTATCAACTCAGTTAATAAAACCAAAGTATCTTCCTGAATCAGAAATAACCGACGATAAATTTAAGCGCAGTTCTGTACAGTAAGTAAAACCATTGCCAGCTGAAATGCTCAAATTCTGCAAAGTTTTTCTTTCGCTTTATGCGAGAAATATGCATATTCTCTTACCTTGGGACTCATCATCTGATTCGACTCCATAGGATCACGAAGCACAGCTGTTGTACCATCTCCATCCAAGTCAATCACTTGAATACCATTCGATCTTTGTGCGAGATCTCTTGAAGTGACTAAAAACAGCATTGTAAATAATCAAAGTAAGGTTATCTCATGTTGAAGAGCTCCAGACTGCTCTACAGGAGGAGGAGACTGAGGAGAATATGGTGCCTGCCTGATTATTCTAAACATTCATGTCTCCTGCATCTTCTGGCTCCCGGTGTTGTGGTCTGGCCCCGTTATTGTTCATATGGGTCCCCATTTAAACCAGCTTTAAAGATGAACTAGGCTAGCTAATATCGTCAATAATCAAATAACAATTTCAGTGATGAGGATTAAATTGAAGGTGTGTTGAAACAGCAGTTGAAAAGAATTCGTGGAACGTAACACAAATTATCCTCACAATTGGTTTAACTTTAAATATTACGTCTATTGTATTTCATTTCATTTTCATTATTTATTTGAACATGTTTCTTCCTCTCACCAAGTCCAGCACTAGTTTTTTTCCTTGCAATACTCGCTTGAGTGACTGATGTGGTACTAAAATTATTCTTTCGTCCAGACGCTGGGAGTGTCACACAATGACCGCCGCCAACACAAGCAGTGCTAGATTGAAAAGCGCTGCCTGGGATAAGTTTTGCCGAGTTTGTTTGTTGCGATCCTGGAAGAAAGGGCACAATAAAGTTAAAGTTACGGTTTAACATAACCAACCTATTAAGTCTGTTAATAACACCTCTATAGAACAGGTTTCACCTGCTGCCTGAGTTCCAGAGGCACCTCCGAAGTCCCTCTTCTGTTTTCCACTGGGTCCAGACGAAGTTTCCATTCTCGATAAAGATGATTCACTCGTGCCCTTGTTGGTAGACACAAAGCCTGAATCGCTCGACGAACTCCTAACAGTCCCTGTGGTTGCAGCCGCTGTGGTTGCAGCCCCTGTGGTTGCAGCTCCTGTTACGGTTGAGGTTGGTCGACTGTTATTAATGGACGGAACCTTCCCAGTGGATGTTTTAATGAAACTGCTATTATCTTGTCTCAATTGTTCTTGTTGCTTTGGAGAGAAAAATAGACAAAGAGACAAATATTTGAGGTAAATAAACATGTACACAGACACACACGCAAAAAAAAATTTTTGATACGCTTTACTTTGGGCTATGATTGATGGAGAAATATCGCAAACCAATCAGATGCATAACCTAAACCAATCGTGACTTAGTCTCTCATATTTTCCGATACTTGAAGCGGGTGACGTAGAATAACGTCTTCTTGACTCCAATGTGGCATTTTCCCAAGTTGTGACTACTTTTAGTTCGGCTTCATAACAAAGGGACACCAAATCAAGATGGACTCTAACTAAATGACCCCCGTTCCCCTGAAGGCGGCGTAGGGTGGGGGAAGAGAGAGAGAGAGGAATGGCTGGTATTTTAGCAGCTGAAACATTCGGTTAATATTTACCCTGAACCACGTTCTGCATCATTTCACTCGACATGTACGTCTGTCTAACTTTTTAGAAATTATTTCTCAAACTCCGAGGATCACAATGAACAGGAATGCCAAGTGGAGATCAAGACAGGTGAGCAAACAAAAACATCTCATTACCCTTGCTGTTTACAATTTAGTTGTCTATCATGTGATTGGCTTCATCGCCTCCAAGAAGGACCAATTCATAAATAATCTGGTGTTCATGGTCTTCAGAGTTTCACTGTTAAGTCAGACTGGAAACGAATTTACAAATCACACAAACTAATGTTTATCACAGCACACAAACCTCTTGCTGTCTTTGTTGCTCAAGCTGTGTTTGTTGTCGTTTTTCCTCCAGTTTTCGCTGTTGTTCGCCTGATAAATTAAAACCAAACCAAAACAGAAATCGTACTTTTGGAACACACCCCGAGAATATAAAGAAAAAGCTAAACTTAGTAGGTAGTGCTGAATAGTTAAAAAATTTGCCTAAGCTCAAAATTACGCCTTACAAAAATATCTCCGATTTTCCTTTTCGTCGATAGGAATGATTTCACAAGGGATCCCCATTCCAGTAATAGCGTTGGCACATTCACATCATCGTGTCTCTTTACCAAAATTGAGTTAACTCCCCAGACTCACTTTCCACCTGTGCAACTGTTTTAAGACCTATAAGTTTAAAACTAAACTAAATTTTTCTCTTTGGCGACCAAATCCTGAAAATTAGTCGCCAAATTGGCGACTAGAATGCTTCATCATAACCTTAACTAGAGATATTGTAAGTTAAAAAGATTTGCAAAGATAAATCCGCGGCAAACTCCCTCGTTAAGTTTGTTTCCAACACGCAGCACGTGCATCTCGATCGATGAATAGACGCCACCTTGGAGTTAGGTGAGCTTGAACGTTGTATATCTTCCATCCTAGTGTCCACATTGTGGCACGTGAAAGATCTTTTTCCTTACTTAATTTTGGAGGGTTTATCTAGAACGCTAACAGCGGGAAAAAAGGTTTTGTTTGTCTTTAAAAATGGCGACCATCTTTTTTTGAATTGGCTACCACTTTGAAAAATTTAGGAGCCAAGTTGCTATCAGAAAAAAAAAATTAATTTCACGCCCTGGTAAGGCTTTAAAATGTGATCAGTCACATATGAATAACGTACCAAGAGGATCACTTTTGCTGTAAGGTGAAATACCAAAACAAGGTTTAGTGATACTGTAGTCGATGAACGGTTCTTGGGGTTTTCCTGATGATGCGCCTCGCGTCAGTTTACGAGACCTCTTTTTTTTTGCAGTGGAAATCTTTCCATCAACCTGAAAATAGTTAATTGAGCAAGTAAGAATGAGTCGTGCACGTAAGAAAGAGTCGTGTACATGTATCTACCGATGTTTTACCAGCAAAACACCGGGTTGTATTCCTTGTCTCTCTTTAGGAAGCGCTTGTCCAACTCCTCTCAAGCGATTAAACTGGAGACTCTCTTTTAAGTTCCCCAGTTACACCTCAGAGTTGAGAGGTACGTTGTTCCAAAAAACACAACACATTGACCCAGCTAAAGCTAGAGCCCAGACCTCTTGATCTAGAGTTTGAGTGATCACCACAAAAGCCACAAGGTCACATAATCTCTCAATTACCATCACCTCTACACAAAGAAACAGTTGAACTGGGAACTACTGAAGATCTTCGGACGATTATCTCACTGGAAAGATTCCTTTTACAAGATAAACGTAACAATAACAAAACTAATAATAACGGTGCTTTCCTCACCAAGGCACTAAATAAAGGTTCTAATCTTGTTGAGCCTCTATACAGCCACTCAGATCGATTATCAATCTGAAACAGCATCTGCAATAACGAAACAAAAACGGTATTTACTTTGACATGTCAGATACAACACTAAATGAAATGAAAAATGAACAATGTACATGTATACAGACACAGCTTTGCTTCACACATGTACCAAAACTCTCTTCAACCAGGAATTTCGACAAGAAATAGATTCAGCTGACCTTCACCAAACTGCTATCTAGCTGCATCACTTTGGCTTTCAACCTAAAAAAAGGCAAGAACATTTCAAAACTGATCACAGACAAGTCCAAAACTTTACATTCACTTTGTTCCGAGGTCAGTTTATTCGATGATCAGATCCTTGCAGGATCAAATCATTCCACATAATCAGGACTACGGCTTTCCAAAATCAAACGATAGTGTCCAAATCAGACCGAACCGTTCGGTATTGTTCGAAATTAGACGGAGAGTTGCCTATGACATGACCCCATAAAGAAATAGTGATTTAAAAAGAAAGACAGTACTCATCGTACAGGAATATGACACTCATTTCCTAGTTAGCGTGCGTATAAACAAACCAAAACGATTTGGAAATAAATTAGTATTTGACAGTTACGTGACCAAAACTCAAAAGCACTCACTTATCTGTATGCATGATTAATACTTGTAAACAAATAAACACTGATTCCTCTCACCATTGGCCTCTCCATTCAGTTTTAACCCACTGATGCACTTTAAGTTTTACCATTGGTCGCTACGAAACAAGAAGAACTAAATTTACAAAATAATTATATTGTAACAAATAAACGAATGAATTACATCTTATCAAATACAGAAACTAAAATTGATTAAGTTCTTTCCTACGATCTATGTGTACATACGATATATGTATCAGAAACAAATAGTTAAAATAAATTATAATGTATATATCATAAAAAAAAATTGTTATAATAAATTATAATGTAAATATCAGAAACAAATAGTTATAATAGTTATTACAAATTATAATGTATGTATCATAAAACAAATAGTTATAATAAATTATAATGTATGTATCAGAAACAAATAGTTTTAATAAATTATAATGTATGTATAATAAAACAAATAGTTATAATAAATTAAAATGTATCTATCAGAAACAAATAGTTATAATAATTATAATGCATGTATCATACAACAAATAGTGATTATAAATTATAACGTATGTATCGGAAACAAATAGTTATAATAAATTGATTCAACAGTAAACAGTTGTCTCATACATTAGGAAACTCTTCTAGATATTCTTGTATAAACTCCTTGGAATGCTCAGCTACCTCGTCCCAGACTTTCTTGCCTGCCATGATGAAAAATAAAAATAACCAGACTGTCTGGACTCAATCTATCCAGTGTTTTCACACTGTCAACAAAACTCGCCCATAGATCACTCAACAATTGGTTCATATGTCAGCGTGTGTTCATTGAGATATGAAGCACACAAAAAGTTTGGAGAGCACGAAAGATGCGTAAGAGTCGCTCGACGCATAGCTGAGAGCAACTCTAGCTTCTTGAGTGCTCGCCAAACTTCCCAAGTGCTTCATATCTCAATGAACACACAAACCAATTGTTTTAACATTTCAACCTAATGGGAAATTTTTTTTCTCGAGGAATTTGCTTGCTGACGTCATGAGCATGCACAATAAGAATATGAAGCACGCTCGCACAATTGGATTTGATTAGACAAATTTACCAGCTATGTTATAATTGTCATTTATGGGAGTGAGAGTTAAATATGAAATTTTGGCCATTGAGGCCTTCAGTTACCTGTTATTGTCAGCTTTAGCAACTGAAATTCAATCAGGTTTCAGTTACTTTGATTAAAAGAAGGCTATAAAATTTGTGGTGGTCTAACCTGTATGATACACATGATGGAGTTTCTTGACTGGTAAGTATTGAGCAAATCCATCATCAAAGAAGACCAGATATCTAGGACAAGAGGGCTTCTTGATGAGTAAAGAGGATCACAACAAATCAGTAGTGAAACAACATGCATTTGAGATCACCAACATGACATCATTAAATTATCAAAACACAGCATCATAATGATTTGGCAATTGACAAAGTTGTTTGTTTGCTGAAATAAACTACAACATGAAAAGTCATGTCAATTGTGTGAAATTAGGCTTCTGAGAATAGATTTTTCCCTCTGACTTTGAAAATTCAGCAAATTTTCACTCTTTGTCCCAGCAAAATGAATGTCACCCAAAGTGTGGCTTAAATATTTAAGCAACATCCAAGAGTAAATTTCTTGCCTATTCCTCGCACTAGTTTTGCACAATATACTGTACATGAATAGATGTGTGAATGCTCATTGCACAAGTGACAACCTACAGTCTGGAGGTTTACTGTTGATGACTTTCTTTTGACAAAGCGTATTTAACATTCTATAGAGCCAATTTTTATTCCTTTTCTTCAAATTTTTATTCCTTTCTTCAAATTTTTGCTTCTTGTCATGGTCATTCTTGCTGGTGTGATAATCAATCGACATGTACAATGGCCATTTGCCAAAAAACATGTACAAAGCTTGCAATGCGAGTCTGAAAATAAGAGGGCAAAAAACAAAAGAACATAAAAAAAAAACTTCAAGAATTACAACTACAACAATCATACAACAACAACTATATACAAAGAGTAACCTGTTTTTGTTTTCACCACAGGCATTCTCAGCAACAATACCAGCATACAGTACATCTAACTTGCCATATATTCCTGCAAAACAAAACAGATTTTCTCTATTGTTGAAATAAAGTGTACATGCGAGTCCCTCTTTTTAAAGAATACATGATCACTGAATTTTTTTTATTTACACATAGAGTAACAAGACCATTGGAAATGAAAACGTAAGTTGATTAATTGCAGAATTGTGGTAATTGTTGAAAGATTACTTCAGTCTCCTTTCCATTTTTCCAAGGTCTAGAAAGTTACATTAAAATTTAAAATTACTTTAAGAATTCCACTTTTCCAATATTTCCAACCCTTCCAACAATTAATCCTTCAAAACACAGTCGTGTAATGTACATAATTTCTTGTACCATGATGTTTACATGTCTTTTGCCTTGTGACTAAAAGAAAACACATCAACTGTAACTTGGTTAGGTTTGTTTTATTTGTTACTGTTATTCATTCTGTTTAAAGCCTTTCATTCTGTAAGACAGACAATTTACATGCATTTAATGTGATATACATGTAGAGTTAAAAGTATTTGTCAAGAGAGCCCTGTGATGTATGTCCTCTTGGATGACTTAGCTCATTAATTCCACCACATTAGAATGTTATGTTACAACAAGAAGGAAACAAAAGCAAACATGAAGCCTTGGGAACAACAAGAGAAAGAAAATGTTAATGACCTGTGGAAGGTTTCCGCCAAGACGCATTCTCTTCTGCTGTATCCCGAGGCCTCAATGCTAGTGAAAGAAAAGTGAGGAGCATGGGTCAAATTAAGTGTGAATGACAGATCTTTATGGACAAGAGCAAAAAAAAAAATCAACAAAATATTAACAGCTTTATCATGGTTAGGTTACAAGCTCAAGGTGTGAAAAAGTGAAGGTGACGAAACAATCAATCATGCATAAGAAGTAATTTCCGCAAAGAAACCCTTGATCTTTCCTGTTCTATTAAATTTTATTACAGCCATTTTACAGCACAAGCCCTCAGGTTTAATTTTTGATGCCATGTGAGCTGCTCGTTCACATCAGATTTTACTAAGCGTTATGAGGTAGAGTAGGCAAAAGTTTCTTCTTAGAGGGTGTTGCAATCAAATTTTTACAGTTTAATCTGAAAGTAAGTTTGCTGAAGACTTGAGAAGGAATAAGAGTAAACCAAAAATAAAGGTAAACAAAGTGTTTTAAAAAAATTGTCATAATGACTCCACATGACAATAGAATCTTCCAATGAGAGGAATTATGCTAAATGTTACCACCTTTTAAGGCCAGTTTAACTTTTAAAAGGAGACATAACTTCCACCTTGAAAACCTTTATCTAGGATTGTGAGTGATTTACATTAAAAATCTTAGGTGAAAAAAAGTTATCAACTTTACATCAAGATTTCTCAGTATTATATAACAATGATTAAAGAGATAGTAACCTCTAATCCAAAAAACTGACAGTTTAGACCAGGATTCAAAAAATTCAAAATCACTCTTTTTCTTTCCCTGCAAGATCTTTTAAAATTTGCAGTTTGTAAATTAATAAATATTGAGACTCCACTGGAGTGTTTAAATTCAACAGGTGGTCAGTTGTTTCAAGATACAATTTGGAAGTAAGAGGAAAGAACTGCAAAAAATTCCACATCTACATGTCATGGTCTCAAAACTGTAGGACATAAGTGCAAACAAGCCTCTCCTCTATCATATAAACCCACTAGTTACAAATATTAATGCAAGCATTCTAGAAAATAAACACAGGCTAATTTTTGTCATAGAACAGAAACATTTCAGACTCACCTACAACACGACTGCCAACATTGAGCACTGATGGGTTGGGATTGGACTCCAAAGAAATATGATTGGATGACAACACTCCTCTTGTACCTTTGTCAAACTTCACCTTGTATTTGATCTGAGCAATAAAATTAAAAGCTTAAGTTATACATGCATATTACATATTCCAGTAAAGATTACTAATTAATGAAGTTCAAATTACTTCATCTTCAAATTTATATGCTTTCTCAAAATGTTGAATTCACAAAAAATAAAGTTTTGAAATTAATGGTACCAAAATCTTACCTGATTGTGTTTGTCTGTCAAAATCCTCTCTATTATACCTTTGAAACAAAAACAAATGAGAACAACACATAGTATTTTCTTTTCACACAGATTAACAAAAGCTAAAGATATAAATGCCTTCAACAGGAGTTAAATTGCAAACCTATAATCTTGCCAATACTACATGTAATTTTGACCCTCCACCACTGAGTTTTAGGAAAATGCAAAATTCCTTGAACATCCTGCTTAAATGTTGAAGTAATCTACAAGAGCTTTAGAAAATTAAACAGTTTTTAACAAAATGCAATGTACATGAATATTACTTACCTGGATACCAGAGTTCATCAGCCCTCTGACCTATGACGCGAGTCCCAACCTCAAACTTAGGAGGCCCTGCTGGGGGACTGGGTAACAAAACACTTAAAATCAGTTAATTTACTTTTACAAACTTTCAATTAAAAGTAGGAATTTCTGACTGAGGGTTTCATCAGCTCCTTTTTTGCATGTGATTTCTCTCTCCAAATCTGTGCTTCTCTCTGCTATGTGACAGTATCATAAAACTACTGTTTTCTTCCAGCAGATTTAGTCTTCTCTCAAATACAGAGAAGTTTCACATAAAAGTCACAAAATGATCAAGAGTGCATAGAAACTCAAAAGCAATATTTGCATACTTGCAGATTTTGACTCGAAAGATATCAAAAACCACTTTTTTTGAACACTGAAAGTTCTAACACAAAATCGACCAACAACATTTTGTGTTATTTCAGAGTCTACAAACCTTTTTACTTCTTTGTCAATTGATTCTTTTTTCCCAAGAGAAGACGGTCCAGGCTGAGGTAAGGATGCCTGCCTGAGGGGCAGCTGAGGAACAGAGGGTGTGGTACTTGGTCTAAAACAAAACCAGACATGACTCAATAAGAGTACAAGTCAACATTTACATGTACAATCACGTTACTCACCCTTAGAAATCTAATGAATGAAAAAATGTAATTAAAGATTACAACACCAGAAAGCAGTTCAAACCAGTGTCAAAATAAGCTCATATCAACGGCATCTTGACGTATCTGTTGTGCAATCTTCAAAAGCTATCAACTTTTACATGATCAAATTACATCTCATGGCTAATACTAGGCACCTATATGTACATGTAAATTGAGGTAAAATGTTTGATGATGAAACTGTGATGTTCAAAATATATTTTGAACCATTCTTGCAGAAGAGTCTGTTCATTTTTCTATCTTTGTTTTGCTCAGAGTGGAAAGCTTCTGAAACTCATTTTCAACTTTAGCCCAACTCTGATATTTTACAGTTCAGTGATGTTGTTTTGGTTTCTTGTTAATGTTGTTTTGGTTTCTTAATAAGCCTGCCTAGAACAAATAAAGCTGAAAATCAAATGGGCACAAGAATTTATAGCATAGCACATGTAAATGTGTGCAAGACATTAAATTCAGGAGTGGTGTAATCGAATCTTCAAACAACCATGTTCTGGTGTACATCACAAACCTGCTGTTGACAGGTGATGTAAGAGGTGGTGTTCCTGTCTGCAATTCAAGATTAGGTAATGTTTGCTGCACAGGAAGAGATGGGGGAGATGACATCACAGCGACACGTTCTGGTAAAAATGGCTCTCCACTGCCAACTGGTGGCTTCAATGTCTTGTAAATCGGAGGGGGTGACTTAATGGGACTTAACGGAGAAATAGAAACATCTGATTGTTTTGTTCTTTGTACAGTTAGTGACATAGTTCCAGTCTGTGATGAAGTGAAGGTGTTTACTACTTCCTTAGGTGGAGCAGGTCTGATTGGAACATAATTTTGTAAAATGTTTGTTTGAGCTGTTTGCTGCCATGGAGGTACTGAGAGATTTTGATTTAGATTAACTGTCTCTGCTTTGTCCTTTTCTTTTTCCTTTTCTTTTTCCTTTTCTTTTTCCTTTTTAGTTTCCTTCTCCTTTTCTCTCTCTTTTTCCTTCTCTCTTTCCTTCTCTCTTTCCTTTTCTCTTTCACGAGTCTCATTCTTGATGTCTTCATCAGTGGCTTGGCAAGACATATCAGCAACATCAACATATTCAGTCTCATCATCATCAATAACAATAACAGTCGCACTCTTCTGCTGTTGTTGTTGCTGCTGCTGTTGTTGTTGTTGATCCTGTTGGTCCTTGCTACCCAGAGTAGTTCTTGGAGCTTCTTTTTCTGATGTCCTGTAATCATGATAACACCAAGAATAAACAAAGTGAATCAAATGACTGTGTCTCACCACATGCTACTTGAGCCTCACAGTCACTAACATCATAACAATGTAGATGTATTCTCAAGCCTACTGCTGACCAAAAGAGCAGGTTTTAATTGAAGGACTCACCTTACTGTTGGCAGAGTGCCTTGATATTCCTTTAACTGTGCATCAATGGAGTCCAATAGCCTTCTCAAAGTGGAGTGGCTTTCTGATAAAAAGACACAACACTAAAGTTAGAATACTTCTCAGCAAAACAAAAAGGTGACCAGAGTGTGTAAATGACACAAGTTAAATTTGCACTGAACTTGCTCAGGTAGAGCAAAATAGCCCATTATGCTACTATATACATGATTGCATTATTGGCTCTAAGTTATAACAAAATGATAAAGACATAACAACCTGTTGCATAGCTGCTGCAGACAGGTTGTCAAATTAGCAACTTATGCAGTAAATTAGTCAGTGGTCAAAACTAAGAATGGCAGAGACTCTCCCCTGAGCTTGGTTACTACAAAGTTCCTGAGTGACACAAATCCTACAAACTGCTGATACATTATTAATGTATGCAGGAAACATGTTGCTTGGGAACAGCCTAGAGCACAGAATCTGAACTTCTGAAGTTCAGTTCGACATGGGACTCAAAATTTTTTTCTTTGTCCCACACTTGTGACAAGGTAAAATAAATATCTTGCCCAAGTAAGTAAGTAAAGTAAAGTAAATAAATCTTTATTTGAATAGGATGTACAATTACATTCAAGACTGTATTCTCCCTTATGGTCCTATGAAACTGAATTACAATAATTCTAATTACAGACATTTAAAATACTGAAATAACAAGATTTTAAAGACATTATGAAACTTAAGATCACAAAAAATATCTGAACTAGGTCAATGTCATGCCATCTTGACCTCCCACTTGGTGAACAATACAGATTTACAGGAAATACAGCTGTAAGTGAAATTCTTCTTCATTTATTACAGTAACTTCACAAGATGATTTTAGCAATCCTAGTTTTTTCCCTTGCCTTTCTTTCTTGTAGTTTAATAAATACATACTATGACAAGAAAGAAGAAAATAACACAAAAAAACATAATTCTGACCTTCAACAGCAACTGCTCTCTGTAAAAGGGTTCTTGTGGTCCTTTAACAATTGAAACATTGCAAAAACAATAAATCATTGTTATGATTAGTTTGGATCAGGCCCCAGTTGTTAAAAGAATGGATAATGCTATTCACTGAATAAAATCTCTATCCAGTGGATAGAACAGTACATTTTGGGAACACTTATCTGCTAGATAGTGATTTATCCATAGGATAGCATTATCCTCCCTTTGAAAAACTGGGCTTAGGAAGGCCAGTTATTATTACAGTATTTGTGACAGGACTGTGCTTACAAACACTGAAAGATAATAAGTTGACAAAAACTGCAATGTACTGCAGCTTACTTGTATACATATTCTTCAGAGTTTCAGTTCAACTATATACAAAGACAATGGCATGTAGCTTGACCCTTTCTATGCACTAACATCAGCATGTTTATTCTCCATACTGTTCTCTTCACATTTCTTATAGAACTAACAAGGAGATTTTGTCTAACCCTTTAAACTCCCATGAGTGACCACAACAACATTTCTCCTCACCAAATCAATACAATATCAAACAGACAAGTGATGAGAATAAAGAAAAATATCACTTAGGGGATTATTAGTTGATTCTATATCAAATTCTCAGAACTAACATCATAAGAATTGAATGGCAGACAGTAGGGAGAGTTACTAATGAGATCTTGGGAGTGCAAGGGTTAAACATCAGAAACTTGGTGTGAAATAAATAATAATCACAATGTATTGCATTCCATTCTTCTCAACCTGCATGCCACTAAATGTGTTGATGACATAAAGAGAAATTCTTTTTTGGTCAGAAGTGGGAGTAACAGGGTTAATTCATCACTTGAAATGCATTTATTTGTTTACTGTAATCACAAAGGAATCAATCCATCAAACAGAGGAGAGATCAATTCGTAGTACAAATTATCAAGCAGCTTCTCTAATAAATTTTCAAAGTACAGTTAACTCAGCACAAACATTCAAGGAATTTTTGTTCACGTTTCATTATAAAAGTAAAACTTATTTCCCGTCAGACTCACAAGTAAAGCATGCATCTACAGTAGGCTCCATTGAAAAGCATTTAAAACTGTGTATAAACTCTGTTGATTAGAGGTGGGATCAATTCAGGATCACACAATTTCAGATCAAAAGTTACACTTTCCTGCAAAACCTGTAACCTGTTGCTCTCTTGGCATGGCTCCATTATGTTACTAAAGTTGTATTTATAACCTAACTTCGAGTGCAATTATCGACCATTCTTCGCGCTTATTTACACCTGGAGTAGAAGAGTGCATAACCACTTCGTGTAAAGGATTATCAAACATCCGATTTTCTACTCCATCAAAATCCCGCTTAAATGAATTGTTACAGCTTTGCAATCAGACGAAACTGAAGCAACTAACGAATAAATTATCCGCTTTAAATGAGAGCCTCACCGTTCACATAACTCCAAAAACCCCGCAGCTCGTAATTCTTCGTCGATCATGTCTTCCAAATCAAGCCCCTCTTGCTGAAGCCGCGAAACCATTATTCCAATCTCACCCATGAACTTGAAAAAAGGTTAAGACTTTCTTTCGCTGCTATCTGTCGTTGTTTCTAAAAGCCTCCATCGTTTTGACAGAGAGATAAAAATCAATCTTAAGTAGCGTGTCGCGTGAAAGCAAAGCGACCCTATTCATGAGCAAAATTAAACGCATTTTCCTATGATGAAGACCGCTGGTTAGGACTGACTGTCAGGCGACTGTTGGGCACTTACTTAGTGACTGGGGTAGGGGCCGAAAGGATTTTAGCAGGGATCATATGGTTTTCAGAGGGAAAGGAGGGGTTTAGTTGCCGACGGAGCATAAAAGGGGAATATAGGAAATTGACTTACAATGAGGGGGGATCATGAGAATATTACCGAGCCTTATGGGGGAGATCAGGTCAATTTATTGTTTTTTCAGTTTTCTTTCAACTGAGTTGATATCGAACATTGGGCATCTTGAAGACTTTCATTTGTCTCTAAGTTAATAGTTGCACCTAAATACTATCGGCAGGGCATGGCTTAATCCCAGCGGAGGCCTGAACGTTTTTAGACTTCTTATCCTTCCCCTTTGATAGCAGTTTACCTGTGAGTATCAATTGGTCATCAAACCTTTTTGTTACATCGCATATCGTTAATTGTTCACTAAAGTCAACTGATGGGTAAGTCCATTGAAAGCGGACATCGCAAGAAGTTCATAAACTTAGTCTTGAGAGTAATGATGACTGTTATATATATAAGAAACTTTATGAGATTTAGCCACCATCATCAAAAGAATCATTCTCATCCTGCATATGTAACCGACAAATTCTAACCACTACCGACCACAGTCCTTCTCAGGACTACACTCACCCGGACGATCAAACTACACTATTACACAAATTTTAAAGGTAGTTTTCATAGATTTAATTTGATCTATCAAATTAGTTTCCCCGATAAGGCTGTGCCGGACTTGTCACTGATTCTAGGATGATCTTAATACAAGTCGCAAAACAGACTATTTTACAATGCAATGTCTTCGGGATGAAACTTTTAATGAGTTTAATAACAGTCACCTAAGTTCGTATCAAGTTCCTATTCAACAACCGTGAGACCAATAGAATCAAACATCATTAAACAATTTGCGTCAGGGCTTGTGCTTACTACTGGAACAAATGCTATCAATTGCCATTCTTAGCAACCTGGATGACACTCCACCAGGAATTGTGATCGATTTTCTAAGTTTATCAACTGCCCCCTTATCTGTGTTTCCCCATTTGATGTAGGAATGACCTGAAAGAGTAGCTATTTTGTTCATATGCCAGTTATAGGTTTTGCGATTATCATTGAACATTTCAACAACAGCTCCACCCGGTGGCATAAATATAGAAAAGGCATGAGCTGCACCGTGCATTCCAAACAAAATGTCTGTTTTGGCAACTATTTCCAGCTGTGCTTTTAATGGTAAAAGATCCAACTGCACAGGAGTGATGTCTGCGGTAGGGAAGCTGTCCTTAATTTCTTTTAAGACATCTTCCTCATTGGCGATTTTCCTATCTATAATTCCAGCTAGATTCCTTGGATGGTTCTTGTAGTCTCTCCTCAAGATGAAAAGGATATTTAACTTTTTTTGACTACATTTTCGCAAATGTGTTCCAGATAAGATGCCAAACCTTCTTAACACAAAAGACCTAAAAGGTTGAATGTATTTCGGGGAATTGCGACTCTTGTCCAATAAAGGAGACCTCGCACGCGGATATCTCCAAAGAAGATTTTCGAACACAACTCCATTTGACTCTATAAAAATAGGATCGGTGAGCTTTATGAGCCTTTGGAACAAAAATGTCCAAAGAGGGTCCAATGAGGTCTTTGGATGGGCATCTATCACAATAATTTTAAGCTTGTCAGGTTTTATGCCCAAACTTTGCGATGTGATAAAAACGTCCAACAGATCGACAATAGTCCAATAAACATTAGCATATTCATTCCTTTCGATCGCCAGGTAATGACCAGCTTGAAAAGACTGGTGCCCTCCAATACGCGAAAATTGCCGAGGATCTGCAACTTCAAAGGACTTTTTCCATTTGATAAGAGTGTAATCCATGTCTGTTTTATATAGTTTTCCGTTAACCTCGTCCACATCCCCATGACAATAAAGCGTGAAGAAACCCTTCGAGAGAACAAACAATTCATCTTTTGCCCGGGGTTTTTCTAAGTAGGCTTCGAGAACCCTGGCGTGTCCAAGCTTTGGTCGAATTGCAATAAATTTGAAGAAAACTATTCCATTTTGTGTTATCTTTAATCGGTTTGGACAACTGCTAAAAATGTTTAGTCTAATCGTCTCCAAATCAAGGTTACTGGAAATTTTTGCCGACAAAGTGTTATGTACATAAAGATTGATGGAGACAAATATGATCATGACCATCAATAGAACTGAGTACTTGATGATTTTTACTAGTCTTGATGAAATGAAGCGTGTTCCAGGACTGGCCATGAGATAGACGAGACCCTCTGACAGTCTTGTTTTCAACAAGCTGAAATACATTAAAGCTGATGTTAGTTTGTTATCATTGATAGCATTCACTATATATCACCATCATTATCTTTGCTGCTTTTCGTAGTTGTTACTCTAAGTTTTTCAAACGTCCTCTGCAGCTTTGGTGCATATATAATGTATATGGATAGTGTGAATTTATAAGTACTCAGGAATCTTTTAGGGCTAATAGAGTAAGCTTGTTTTTTCGGAAGAGAGGATCGAGTTCAATCCTTACATAAGCAAATGTATTTTGAGTGACTTTGGTATCTTATGATGAACAACAGCAAAGTTTGGAAACATAGCGAGGGAGAACCAAAACTTCAAGAGAGTATCTTATGACTTCGGTACCTACCAAGTCAATGTTCAAGAAGAGAAATAATCGGTGATCGATCCTGACGTAAGACAACTCCTCACTAACCGCCGCACGGAGAAGTGGACATCGACATTACAGGGCTGTATAAATAAACAATGAAACAATGTGATTAATTCAAAGTTAAATCGTTATCGCTGTCAGTGAAAAAGCTAGCTGAAATTAGAACTTTGGTGGAATGGAAAATTGATAAAGTTTCTTCCTTGATTCCTGTGAACCATCTTACATGAATCTCTCAGATTCGATGACTGTTACTTTTCAAGTCACTCAAAATTTTATCTTACAGCCTTCCATTTAACGTTGGTTGATTACAGATATGAATTACGAAGAAACTGCAAAAACGTACTGTGCTATAAGATATTGACTGATGTGGTATCTATTCAAATTTCAGAAAAATTATGAAACTTCAAGCATTTTTAATACTTTTTTTTGCCCTTTTCATTGCATTGGTCTATTTTCAAATAATTTATGTCAATTTTTAACATATGTATGGATTTAACTCCGTTCAAGCAGCTGCTTTAACAATGCATGTGGTCAAAAACTTTATAGAGAGCCTGTGACCTTTTTGGACTGACGCTGTTTGTTAATCATCTGTATATATATCAAAGAATATTTTAAGGATCACAGTGTAGCGAAAAGTAATCCCACCAGAGGAACCAAATTATTGAATAGAGACTTTCAAGTACTACAAATTCTTACGATTGGCGATGTTATAAGTTGAAAAACCTGAACCTCTTCACTCAACTATCATTGAACGATACCATGTAAACATTGCACTGAAGCGCGAAGTTTCAATTACTAATTCACGTATTTAAAAGCACAAAGTAAAGTGTTGGAGGGAGTTACCTTAAGTTTCGTACTTCTGGAAAATTTGCTATTCGTTTTTAAATGTTGTCACCTGAGGCGCTGGGGGG